TACAATATATACATTTTGTATATACATTGTATTTCTTTCGTTGAAAATAACTGGACTATCCGTGTGAGAGGGGGAGCAGGAAGAATTAAACGAGAATCCTCCCGTGGCAGAAATACTGACTTTATCCTGATTTTCATTAAAGATAGTGAATAAGCCTTCGTAAAGCAAGACAAATAAATAAATGTAGAATCACACTTGGGGAGGATTACCATGTGTATCTTGTGCCTGGTAGTCTCTTTAAATATACAAGAAATGATATCTCGAACGGTTCTTCATAGGCGATGGATAATTGCTTATTTATGTCGCAACCCGGCGTCTCTCCTGCGTCAGTTGTAGGGGACTTATAGGTTTGGGCTGTGTGGTGGACTTTTACAACACTCTCTCTTTCTGTTTGTATTTGTCTGTCTGTCTGTCTGTCTGTCTCTCTCTCTCTCTCTCTCTCTCTCTCTCTCTCTCTCTCTCTCTCTCTCTCTCTCTCTCTCTCTCTCTCTCTCTCTCTCTCTCTCTCTCTCTATCTCTCTCTCTCTGTACAAATGTATGTATAGTGAATTGGGGCCCGTATTTTTTTAGCGATATGATGCAGGTTGGAACTGTATATTTTTCGCGATGTGATACATGTTGGGGCATTTTTTGAGCGATATGATACATGTTCGAACTTTTTTTTCAAGCGGTATGATACATGTTGGTCTCTTTTATAGCGATATGATACTAGCCGGACTACTGAAAAGCCGTTTGTACTAAATATTTTCGTTGTAAATAGCCTTTCCATATTATTTAATTTCGTTGCATTTGTCTGCTGACAAGAAGAGCTGGAATACTATTTTCAGAATTCACCTTTTATTACAGAATTTAAAAATAATTCGTTAGGAAACGTAATCCGGAGAATTTCTGTTTTACAGGACTTTTCTTTATATTAAAAAAGGGGTGAAAAAAGTTGGCTTAAATTCATCTAGACATTTATAGCGAAAGTTTTATACTGTAGCACTTTTTGAATAGCCTATGTTGGCTCAGAACCATTCGGACTTTTTTAAGCGTTATGACAAGCCAGATGACTGAGCTTGTAACCAAAGGGATTATCTTGTATCTGGTAATTTATTTGGTTAACCTCTCCAGAAACTTGTACCTCACACGCAGCTAGTTCTATATACACCTTCAGCAGCACTAGATCATTAAAAGAGATGAATGAATGAATCTATATAAATCGAAAAGCAGACCTTTATAAATGAATTGAAAGGGTTAAATTCCATTTTAGGTGTAATATGAATTTGTTTTACGCCCATATGAACTCAATGATTAGCCTTTGTCTTTGTTCAGATGAGTATTTAACATTGCATTTATATAGTTTATTATAGTGATGCACATATATGTATTTTCTTTCTGTGTATTTGATCCACGCATATATTTTGTGCATGTGATTAACTGCACATTTGAATAATATTTAATATACGGTTATTTGGTTACTGTTGGTGTCCGGAAAACAAACCACATGAATAGAAGTACGTATAATGAAACCACCATGCTAGCAAGCCATGCATTGGCACCGAGAGACCTTATCATTTGATAAATAGTATTGATTAAAATGATAGTAATGATAACAGTAATATTGAAAAAAAGACAATGGTAATAATAATGATGATAATAATAATAATAATAATAATAATAATAATAATAATAATAATAATAATAATAATAATAATAATAATAATAATAATAAAAGTAAACTGCGAAGGAACGAAAAAATATGCACAACAAAACTGCCTCACCATGAACGGCACGCGGTCCATGACTGATCAGTGTCCGGGAAGGGAATGAGGCTTCGACGCTCCTGCACTACTTTTATAGACCCACTCTCTGCACGCGCCTTCGCCCATCTCTGTCACCACCACAGAGATCCCACTAAGCACCTTCCCCGCCTCCCCACTTTTTGTCTGGCGTCTCTCTTGTCCTCTCCACATCCTGGTTAGTTATTCCCCCCCACTTCCTCACTTCCCCACGTTTTGCATGGCGTTTCTCGTATCCTCCCTTTATCTTCTACTTTTTCCTTATTTTTTTTCCTCCCCAATTTGCAAGTCCTTGTATAATGATCTCCGATCACTCCCCCACACCTCATAACACCCGTTCCTACTCTCACACTCACTCACACGCACGCACACACACACACACACACACACACACACACACACACACACACACACACACACACACACACACACACACACACACACACACACACTCACACACACACACACACACACACACACACACACACACACACACACACACACACACACACACACACACACACACACACACACACACACACACACACACACACACATTCACACACACACACATATATATATTTACATATTTTGACTTTCAGACAACTGCAAGCATCCCGAACACGCATTCGACCTGTCAGCGAAGGATCAGGAAAGGATAGGAATAGGCCTACACTTTATTTCGTCTCAGTCTCTTTACAAGTATAATTATGATTAGT